ACTACTGTCCTAACACCTTCATTTTTTAAAAAAGATTATTTATTTGAAAGGCAGAGTGACAGATCTTCCATCGATGGCTGCAACAGCTGGAGCTGGGCCAGGCTGAAGCCAGGAGCCAGGAGCTTCGTTGTGGGTGGCAGGTACCCAGCCACTTGGGCCATCTTCTGCTGCTTTCCCAGGCCATTAGCCAGGAGCTGGATCAGAAGTGGAGCAGCCAGGAGTTGAACTTGTACCCAGGTGGGATGCTGACCCTTTCTTTCATTAATTTTTTTAAAGACTTACTTATTTGAGATGTAGAGTTACAGACAGAGAGAGGGAAAAATAGAGAGGTCTTCCATCCATGGTTCATTCCCCAAACGGCCGCGATGGCCAGAGATGAGCCAATCCAAAGCCAGGAGCCAGGAGCATCTTCCAGTTCTCCCATGTGGGTGCAGGGGCCCAAGGACGTGGGCCATCTTCCACTGCTTTCCCAGGCCATAGCAGAGAACCAGATCGGAAGAGGAGCAGCTGAGATTTGAACCGGCACTCATGTGGCGCCACAGGCAGATATTAGCCTACTACGCCACAGTGCTGGCCCCTTTCATTACTTTTTTAAAATAAAAATTAATTTATTTGAAAGAGTTACACAGAGAGAACGAGAGGAGAGAGAGAGAGAGGTCTTCCATCCATTGGTTTACTCCCCAGTTGGCCACAATGGGTGGAATTGCGCCAATCCAAAGCCAGGACTTGGGCCATCTTCTACTGCTTTCCCAGGCCATAGCAGAGAGCTGGATGGGAAGTGGAGCAGCCGGTACTTGAACCGGCACCCATATGGGATGCTGGCACTGCAGGTAGCGGCTTTACCCATTACACCACAGCGCTGGCCCTGTCCTTTCATTATTTTAGGAATACCTTTTGACTGTCTTCTCACTTGAATTATTCTGGCTGAAAAATCTGACATCATCCTTATCTGTATTTTTGGTATGTAACATAAGTACCATCTCCCCAGCTATTTTAAGATTCTATCACTGGGGGCCAAGGCTGTGGCACAGGGAGTAAAGCTGCCGCCTGCGGTGTCAGAATCCCATATGGGCACCGATTCAAGTCCTGGCTGCTCCATTTCTGATCCAGCTCTCTGCTCTGGCCTGGGAAAGCGGTGGAAGATGATCCAAGTCCTTGGGCCCCTGCACCAGTGTGGGAAACCCGGAAGAAGCTCCTGGCTTTGGACTGGCCCAGCTCCAGCCATTGCAGCCATTTGGGGAGTGAACCAGTGGATGGAAGACTTTCTCCCCCTCTCTCCCTCTCTCCCTCCCCCCTCCCCCTCTCTCCTTCTCTCATAAATAAATAAATCTCTAATTTATCTTGAACAATTTAATTATGATATGTTGTTTTAGTTTTATTCATAGTCTCTGTACTTGTGGTTCTGGAGTTTCTTGAATCAAAGAGATTATAGATTTGTTAAGTTTGGAAAATGTTTTACCATTACATTTCATTACATTTTCTTTTCTTTCTTTCTTTCTTTTTTCTTTTCTTTTCATTTCTTTTTTTTTTTTTTTGTATTATGTTTTACCATTACATTACAGTACATTTTCATTACTTACCATCTTTCATTTTTCTTTTCGTTTATTTCGCTTTATGTTTTTTTTTATCGATGCACAGGCCAAGTCAAACAGAAGGAGAAAAGACTTCCTCCTTGACTTTTCCTTTGGAAACACATCCTCCAGGAAAAGGCATTGGGGCATAAACTGAACACATTCGAACCAAGGAGCCAGGTGCTTGATGGGCCCCGGTGACCGTTCAACCGCATCACTGCGCGCCACTCTCGGCTGGGGTGAGAAAAAAATGAATAAGTCATGAGACAAATAGGCGAATGGAATCAAGGGCGTATGGAT